ACTATTCATTTTTGGCACTCAAATACTTTGATAATACATGACTTCCATACTACCTAACACTCTGATCTATATAGTTAAGCAAATGTGATTAAAATTCTATAAAAATAACACTTGGGTCTTCATAAGTCATTTCTCTATTTCAACCACTTAGCATTATCTACTAAAGAGAGGCCCTCATATATAACTTGAGTCTTTCATGTAACTCCAAAGTAGGTCAAACCTATGACAATATTTAATCTTCCAACTACCTTATTTGATAATTAACAATTTCTCATTTATTAAAACTATAAATATTTTTGTTTTATACTACAACAAATCATCATAACATTTTTAAATACTAATTAACAATTCAAAATTTTCACTCAACATCAAAAAAGGTCTTAATTATCAAAATTATATCATCTTCCAAAAATATACACTGAATTGTATCACTTTGAATATTTGTATAACCTCTCCATAGCCAATGCTATGCAAGCTTAATATTAACAATAAATGAAATCCTATTGAGGTTGAAGCTTGTTATCCACTCCATGATTATTTTTAATGCTGGTAATATTGCATGATGCAAATTTAATGATTTCAATAACACTTGGCATGCACTTTCACCTTGATGCCCACTAAACCATCTCATAATATTTAATCACATACTTCTTACAAGGATAATAAACATTGACGATCCTTACATTGTTCTTGATATTTTTTTCATCACCTTAAAATAAAGATTGTGTCATAAAAGATACTCATAATGTAATCGAAATGATTCTCGATACCAACAATAATTTTCCAAGTCTATGATCATTACTCACTTTTATAGCTTCAATGTTTGACTCATAAATTTGACTCTCTTAATAATTATCACAAGCTTCAACATATTTCGATCATAAGTTTATAAAAATACTATTACTAAATCGTTTTACATGGACTTGATCAATAGGAATTAATGAGAGTGAACTGTTAAAGAGCTATTCTAGCATCTCCCATGCTTCTTCAAATTTCAGCAAACATTTCATCAGGATATAAAGTTCAATCGTTGTCCATTTTATTTAAATCAATTCACCTTCATAGATAAATCTAAAGAAAACTTCATAATTATGTTCACTATGCTCTGGTCAAATATTACTTAAAACCCTAATTTGATGTCTTCTCAAAAACAGCATTTACAATATTTTCTTGGTGCATGCATCTTAAACAAAGATCTTGCTTTTTCATTCTTAATATATCTATCTCAAGTAAAGTCTCTAGAATTTTTTGTTTTTCTTTCAAAAGCTACATTATATATCATTTTCTTCTTCCTTAATACATAGTTGATTGTTAAATCATCAAGAGTTGCACTACAAATGCACCTTAATCTTTTCATTTTTTAAGGCTAAAATTAATCAAACATGAGCAAGCTAAGGATTTCATTGAATTGGCTCATTAAATGTTAAGTCAAAACCAAAAAACTAAATTATCTTAATAATGAGCTTTTTTTTTCCAAATTTGGTTCTTATCATATAATTGAACATAGGCACAACATGCATAATTCAATTGCATCAAATATAGTTATAATCTTTATGAATCTAATTATATAAGAAATTACAATTTTGTAAAAAGCATGTGTTTTCAATAATTTTAAACTATATTTGATTATTTCTCATAATAAAATGCATAAGTAATTCAGCAAGAACTTATTGGAGTCTGATTGTTTGGCACAAAAAAAATTTTTTTTTTTATATTCAAGCTTAGAAGGTACATATAGCACAAGTCGGATTTAAGCTAATTATTGAGCTAAGCCCATTTTTTTTTTTGTAAATATCCATATTTTTTTACATCACTATTCATTTTTGTCATGCTCAACTTGACAAAAAAAGCTTCTTTATTGCCCAACACTTTGATCCATGTAGCTAAGCTAATGTAATTGCAATGCTATAAATCTACACCTAAGTATCTATAATATTCCATGTAGAATATTACTTCCAAGTCATTTGTCTGTTTCAACCACTTAGCATTATCAATAGAAGTGAGACCCTCAAATTTATATAACAACTCCGAGATAAACGAAACAATCATAGTTAAGTATTATTTAATCTTCCAAAATTATATTTAATAATTAACAATCTCACACATTAAAGCTATAAATAAAAAATTATCTACAGTACAATTAATCATAGTAACCGTTTAAAAATTTTCATTCAATATTCAAACTTTTCACTCAACATCAAAAGAGGTCTCACCCATAAAAATGATATCATTTTCCAAAAGCATTTCACTTTGAATAATTGTTTAACCTCTAAATAACCAATACTATACAAACTTCATGTTAACACTTAATGAAATCATACTAAGATTGAAATTTTTTCTTTGCCGCATAATTAGTTTTAATATTTGTCATGTTGTATGATATAAATCTTTAACGATTTCAATACATGCTTAGCATGAACTTTCTCCTTGATGCCCACTAAGCCATCTCATAATTCAATACAATACCACTTTTAAGATTAATAACCACTAATGATCCTTAAAGTTCTCTTCATATTTTTTTCAATAGCCTTAAAACAAAGATTGTATCAGTAATAGATATACCTAATGATAACCAAAATGATCATCCATGCCAGTATTACTTTTCTAAGTCTATGATCACTACTTCCTTTCATATCTTCATTGACTAACTCCTAAGTTTCACCCTTCAAAATATATCACAATTTTCAGCATCATTTAGTTCTTATAAGTTTATACAAAATTACTATGACCATTGTGCATCATTTTGATAAATAAAATTGCATGAAAAAGATTTCTTAAGAAAATTATTCTGATACCTCCCATGAATCTTCAAAGATCAACAACATTTTATTGGGATATAAAGCTAACCTTTATTCATTTTATCATAGGTAAATCTAAGTCACCATCGCTTTATAGATAAATCTAGAATATACTTCATGATTATGTTCATTATACTCCTATCGCAAAAAAATTTCCTGAAACTCCCAATTTATAGCTTCTAAAGAATACCATTGGCACTTTTTCCTAGATGTATGCATCTTTAAAAAGATCTTGTTATGGGTACCCATAATCTGTCTAACTTTTCTAAAGTTTCTAAATCTATTTTACCTCAATGCTTGTTTTATGTAATATTTCTTCTTCCTTAATAGATGGATAAGCATTAAATCGTCAAGAACTGCACTTTTAAATTTGCTTACTATCCTCCACGGAAAAAAATTTAGCTTCAATTTTTGGCAATGAAAAGTGACAAAGTGCATCATGGCAATTGATAAAAATGGGTAAAACAAACATAAAATATGCCTCCCAAGCAATTTCAATTGAGGGACATAAAAAATTTAA